CCTCGACCCGCCAGCCCCTCGCCTAGCCCCCCGCCCCCCACGCTCCTGCCGGTGCCCCTCACTCCTGACCCGCAGCCCCTGCTAGCCCCGCCCTATCTAATCACTGAGCGTCAGCTGAGCCTCTGATCTGGGCTTTTTATTGAGCCTGGAGAGGGGCTGGGCTGAGAGCAGTCAAACTCACTTCACTTGTGTGATGAATGTCTGTCCCCGGAGGGGGGCCCCACCTCTCCTTTAACATCCTGTCTGCGAGCCCCATCCCGGGGCGCTCTCCCCTCCGGGCAGTCGGCACGGCCCCGTCCCCCCGCTCCGCCAGGAGCTGCTGCGGGGTCCTGATAACCGGTTCTCTTATCTCTGGGGCCCAGCACGGCACAGCGTTGGAGCCGGTCCCATGGGCCCCACAGGCTGGGCTGGGCTCGGGGGAGGTTTGTGGCGAGTTGGTCTCTGGAATTTCGCTCCGTAAAACAAAACCTAGCTGGAAAAGGGGCAAGACGTGCTTAGTGTACGAGCTGAGGTTAGAACCCAGGAGTCCTGGCTCCCAGCCCCCTGCTCTAATCACTAGCCCCCGCTCCCCTCCTAGAGCGAGGGATGGAACCAGAGTCCTGGCTCTAACCACTAGTCCCTTCTCCCAATGTCTCCTCTGGCCTGATGGAGCCTGTTGGTTTCCTTTCTAGTGGTGGAAGGTGGAAGACGCCCTGGACCCCCCAGCGCCCGGCCCCACGGACCTGCCCCAGCCCCACAGCTCCCCGCAGCTCAAGCAAGAGGCTGAGGACTCCTGCTGGGACCTGGACTTCCTGCTCTGCAACTTCCCCAGCACAGAGGCCGGTGGCCCCGGCCCAGGCGGGGGGTTTGAGGCGGGGCCTGGGCTGTGCCAGCCGGAGGCCTACAAGGGGCAGAGCCCGGGCGGGTACACATCGGGGGCTGGGCTCCCGGGCCCCACCAGCCTGGTAGCTGAGCTCCTGTCGGGGAACGAGCCCCTGGGAAAGGGGGGAGCGGGCACCTTTGGGGGGCATCTGCCGGCGTATCCCTCCAGGCCAGACTGTGAGGCCCAGCCCCCCGGCGGGTACGGGGAGCCCCAGCCCGTGGCCCTGCGGCATGGCTACCAGCTGACATACGGAGGCTATGCCCCACTGGCCCCCGCCCTGCTGGCCCGGGGTGCCCCCTACTGCCAGCTGCCTCAGCCGCCCCCCTACGGCCTGGGGGGCGGCTACCAGGCCTTCTGTCACAGCCAGTACCAAGCCCGGGTCCAGCTGTACCGGGGCAGCCCAGCTCTGCCCTCCCCAGCACCCGTGGGCTACCTCGGCCTCCTGGCACCGCCCGTCCCGCCGCCCGGGGAGCTCCCAGCCAAGCCCAAGAGGAGCCGCAAGGGCTGGGGCCACAAGCGCCCCACCAGCCACACCTGCAGCCACCCCAGCTGCGGCAAGACCTACACTAAGAGCTCCCACCTCAAGGCCCATCTCCGCACCCACACAGGTGTGTGTGTGTGTGGGTGGGGG